ACCCTTATCATATAAAAAAAAAATAGTGGACTGATGGTTCACACACACTGTCAGTTAAACTGATGAGTTCAAACGGATGTAGGCCTGAGCGATTTCTCTACGCCAGGGCTTCAAATTTCAACTTAAGATTTCACACTCACGGTAAGCTCTGAATGTACGTCAGTTCAACTGATCAATTTAACTAACCGTGTGTATCGAGCATAACTTATAGTGGACTGACTTAGGATCCTGAGGAGAGAGTGGAATCACAGAATGAAGACGCCGTGTAAAGTATGTAATATGTGAATTTAGACATAGGTCTACACACATTATGTGTGTGTGTATGTTTTCTGCCCCCCCCCCCCATCTTTGCTATTGGTTTAAAAGATACGTGAGCCAGTAAAATAATAGGTGAGGCATAATCATATTAGTCCACAGGGAAGACAGGTTGTTTGTAGCCTCCTTTGTGTTGGTTGTAGGTATCAGAAATCCATTGGCTAAGAGCTAATGTTTATTTTTTTACTTATTATAAGCCAGTGCTTGACCACAATCCCACCTGGTGGTAAGTGGTGATTCAGCCTTAGATGAAAAATGGCTCTGTCTTAGCGTAACAAAAGCCCATTCACTCTTGCCTTGAACACGCCCAGATTGTATTCGGACGGAAAGATAGACGCCGGCTAATCATTCCACTCCTTTGCTGTACGCATTACAAAAGACGAATCAAACCGTTTGATTATAATGCGTGGAATATCGACAACAAAGGGATGAAGACCCGCCGACCGACTGGTTGTCCGATGGTGGACTGAAGAGGGAGGAATTAAAGCGTGTGATTCCTGCACAAACTCACCGAAATGCATCCTATAGAATACCGACAGACTGGCTACTCTGCACCTGTGCTCTTTAAAGTTTCGTATTTGTCATTACAAATAAAGCAACAGCTTATATTATATATCCCACTACTGGGCACAGGCCTCTTATCACTTCTGAGAGGGTTTTAGGGTAAGGAAATGTCTGCCGTGATGCCCGAATGCGTGTTGGCGAACTTCACAACATGTCTTCGAAATATATATTTTTTATTATGTTTTAGACATGCTGATTTCCTCACGATGAAGGAAATCATCACGTAAAACGTAAGTCAGCACTTAAAATTGCAATTAACAATTTCATTAGTGCCGGCGGGGATCAAACCCGGGTAGCTCGCGTACTGTGAAATTTACAGCGAGCGGTCCTGGGCTACCACGGCTCAAGGTTATTATTAATTTAATAGAAAACAATATTTATTCTACAACTACAAGTCTACTGCTAAACATAGGCCAACTGCATCCATCGACTTCGTATAATTTTTTTATAGAATAAAGGTGACAAACGAGCACACAATCCACCTGATGGTAAGTGGATACTGTGGCCCATAGATATCTACATTTTTATCCTCGTTTGCGAATCAAAATGCAGATGCGTTGTCAGCCGTGAGGACTAAGATGGAATGCCTCTTTTCCAGTAAAAAGGGTCTCTGGTTCTCTACACTCACCATACGAAACACAGCAGTGTTAAGCTGCTATTTTACGCTGGTATTCTGTGAGAACGTGGTCCATCCCCGGTCGAGCCGACCCATGCGTGCTACAACTATACTACTAATATAGCTGCAGGATGGTTCTACCACGTATAGACTACTGCACGTACATATATACATTATTTAGTGTGATCATTGATCTAAGTAATTATTGCATAATATTATTGGTTAGTGTACATTCTTGCATGTCGAGTCTCGACCTCTAGTGTCAGATTAACGTCTTAATCACTTAAGAGTGCAATAATGAAGAGGTTAAGTTTTTATATTTTAATTACAGCGAGTTGCGAATAGGTAAGATAATAGGTAAGTCTTGGAAATAATTTTTATACCATAAAAAATGTGGTCGTTATGTCGTTATTATTCTTAACGAGAAATTTTTGTTTGGGTACCTATTTGTTATAAAATTCCCGAAGAAAACTTACGGAATTTACATATACAGGGATATTTTTCAAGGAGTAGCCAAATTTTAAACTTAAGTTCAAATATATAGGAAACCATAAGGGTAGGTACCACTGTTTACCTATTCCTGCCGCAAGTAACAGTGCTTGCACTGCGATGTTCCGATCTGTAGGACTTAGAGATCCAGTACAATTACAGGTTATGAGACATTCCGTCTTAGTTCTCAGAGGTGACAACGCATCTGTACCCTTCTTAGTTTGAAGCTGGATCTAGGTATACAGGGCTATTTTTCAAAGAGTAGCCAAGATTTAAACTTAAGTTCAAATATATAAATAACTAACTGTTCCCCGCGACTTTGCCCGCGTGTTATTTGGGGTATTAATTTTTTTGCGCGGAACCCTAATACTTTTTCTAAAATAAAAGTAGCCTAAGTTACTCCTTGTGACATCAGCTATCTGCCAGTGAAAACCCCGTCAAAATCGGCCCAGCCATCCAAACAGACAGACAAACAGACAAAAACTTTAAAAATTGTATTTTTGTTATTAGTACTGTATTTACTTTCATACGCATTTAGTAAAAAGCTGTAATTTTGACATTACAAACAGACACTGCAATTTTATTTATGTGTGTAGATGTGTATAGATTATATACCAGTGTGTGTCAGGATCGCGCCAAATGGAAGTCCGTAGTCTCTGCCTACCCCTCTGGGTGACAGGCGTGAGTGTGTGTGTGTGTGTGTGATATACCATTATTGCAGTTTTTGAAAATACGAGTAAATAAGGCTTCTACTTTCAATTGAAAGTATCCTAAATCGAATATTATTAATGGGTAACAACGTTTTTGCCTACCTCGACCTACGCTCGACCCTTACGAATGTGTGCCTGCTCAGTAAAATCAGTAAAATAATGCATTACAGACAGAATTCTTGACATATTTTAATTTTTCTTTACCATTTGCCTATATTACTTATTCTGAACCTTCTCTGCAAATTTAACCGGTTATTGCAAAATAACTCTGTATAAAGATGCTAATAATTATAACTGTGGCAGCGCCATCGTCGCGCCACAAGCGAAACACATCGAAGCCTAAATCGCGCTAACAAAGTTCCAAAGTTAAAGCAGGATATATAGAATAGCTCCAAACTACCAATCGGAGCGTTGGCCGCTCCCCGGGCAGAACACGTTGCCCGGAGGGAGATCTCCTCTTTTACTTCTACCCGCCACATAACTTTTAACAAAAACTTAAAACCAACTTCAAAGAGCTAAAAAAGAAATCATTTGTTTGCTAATCTTAGAGGTGGAATTTTTTCTCCACATTTATATTGGACCACCCTTGAAATATAACCCATTTGATAAAACAATAATCATTAAAATTGCTTCAAAATTTGCGAACATATCGTTTAACCTACAAAAAAACATACACTCGAATTGAGAACCTCCTCCTTTTTAAAGTCGGTTAAAAAGGGACTTTAAGTATATCCTATAAAACTCCGGTGTATGTGTGTTCGTATTTTAGGAATTTATGAGGAAAAGGAAAATTTCGTAAATTTTCTTTTCCTCATAAGCGGCTTGCCTAAATACAAATCCCGGACAAATCATGAACCCGGTAGATGGCGCTATTTTATTTAATTTTTCGAACGAAGTTCCTTATCGGACGGTACGAATTTGGCGGATGGGGGCTAAGCGAGAAAAACGGTAAGATTTTTGCGTCACGACCCCTTCTGACGTGATGTATACGGCCTTGGTGACTATAAGATGGAATGATATCCATCTCCCTCGCACTTTTTCTTAGATTGCCGTGAAAGTAATGTTATTTTATTTTAAATGACGTTTCATTTTAATAAACGCTAGTAGTTCATTTATTTGTATAGATTGTTTATCAATAATAATATACTACGAAAGGAACTTCGTTCCAACCGATTGTTCCACGACCCTCACACATGTTATTTTTTTATTGAATAAGGCAGAAGTTATAACCAGTTCTAAAATAAGAAGTATAATTGTGTTGATCTAAATGACAATCGAAAAAGATGTACATAGCATAATAATATAACTCCAGTAGAGTAACAATAAAAAAAAATGATAAAAAAATACATTAAAAATTAAGAGAAACACGTAAATTTTTATTAAATCTAACAAGGCTACTGTCAAATATATCTAGATTCTAGATGTACGTTACTACTCTGAGTAATCACGGCACATTTTGACAATACGGTTGAATAATTTTAATTTTTTTAAAAGAGAGTTTAATATAAATTATTAAGAATAACTCAAAAACTATTGGTCAAACCTTGATCAAATTTATATGGGACCACATGTGAAGCGCCAGCTTTCGAACAAAAAAGGAATCATCGAAATCGGGTCACTCAGTAAAAAGTTATGTGGTAATACACATAAAAAATAGTTATGTGGTAACACACATAAAAATACAGTCAAATTGAGTGCTGTCTCCTTTTTGAAGTCGGTAGAAAAGGAAGTGATATTCCGTTTAACCTAAATATTCTTAGAACACGTTATCGTACATCGGAACTTAAGTTAATTTAGGTTTAGTACGTAATTTTTTGTAAAGAATAATGGTGACAAAAGAGGGCACATTCCACCTGATGGCAAGTGGATGCTGTGGCCCATAGACATCTACATTTATCCTCAATTAAGAATCAAAATGCAGATGAGTTGTCACCCCCGAGGACTAAGATGGAATGCCTAATTTTCAGTAAAAAGGGTCTCCGGTTCTCTACACTCACCATACGAAACACAGCAGTGTTAAGCTGCTATTTTACGCTGGTGTTCTGTGAGAGCGTGACCCTAGCCCTGTCGAACCAACCCATTCGTACTGCAACCACAATATAGCTGCAGCATGGCTCTACCACGTTAATTCTGTAGGTATAAAGCAGTGTTGCAGGCTTCATATTTAACTTCATATACATACAAGTGCTTTATCTATAGGATTTTGACTAATCCCCGCTAAGACACGCAAATCATCGTTCGCAGAATCAGATATTAGGCGTAACTAATTCTGATCCCTGGCGCCCTTCGGGATATTTTGACGTATAATGTCTTTCAGAGCGGGTTTCGGTCACAACGTTAAGAATCTCGGAGACGAGCTATCTGCACAGGACAGGATTACTGTGCCCGAGTGTATGCGCAAGCACAAGTATACTCTTGTAGTCCGCTGAGAACAGCAATCTGACACTATTGGAGACAGATCAGGCGCAGCTGTGAACTTTTCGATAGAAAAATAAAACGACCCAGGGTCCGAACCCGGGACCAAACGATCAGCAGTTTCAGTTACGATAACTAGACCATCGAGGCAATTTTGACGTATATACGAGACTAGCTAGTACCTGCTCGCTTCGCTGGGCGCACGATAATATTTTATTGCGGAACCTATTAATTTTTTTTGATGGGACTATCGCATAATCCATTCTTAGTGAGCGTCTACATTGCTAAATAAGTAACTATACTAAATTTCAAGTCAATCGGGTGTATAGTTTTAGTGATCTCGTGATAAGTCAGTCAGTAAGTACTAACTATATGACGGTGAATAGCTAGTACATACATAAACATACATAAACACTCACGCCTGTCACCCAGAGGGGTAGGCAGAGATTACGGACTTCCATTTGGCACGATCCTGACACACTTCTCTCGCCTCCTCCACATCCATATACCTACGCATACACTCTCGTTGGTTAAAGGTACTCTTGATATGGCCCATTTTTAATATATCGCCAATTTGGTCGACAAACCCTCGCCTAGGGCGACCCTTCCCGACTATGCCGTTCACCCCTGCAACATAGATTTGCTTTGTCACTCTTTCCTCATTCATTCTTTCTACATGGCCAAACCACCGAAGCATCCCTTTCCTAATCCCGGTCACAACATCATCTTGCAAACCACACTCTTCTCTTATTAAACAATTTCTCACTCTGTCATTCAGCTTCATCCCTAACATACTCCTTAATGACCGCATTTCTACAGCATTTATTCTACTCTCATGCTTCTTCTGCCACAATAGCTAGTATATATATATATATATATATACTATTATTATATATATATATATAGTATATATATATATATATATATATATATATATATATATATATATATTCGCGGTGAATAGCTAGTATGTATATATATATATATATATATATATACATACTAGCTATTCACCGCGAATTCGGTTGGTGAAAGTCCCATACAAATTGGTTCACAGGTTTTTGTATAAGTATATAAAATTTTTGTATATATATATATACAACAGAATTCTAGCGTATGATAGCCATGACTTAATGATATCGATTCATTATTATCAAATCTTTCGACATCCACAGAACGGGTCTTACGTCACCTTCGCACAACTTGTTTGTCTAAGTTGTTGCTCATACAATCACAATATCAAAACAATAAAAAACTATTTGCACATACAATAAATAAAACCTTTTTTATTCAATTAATCTAAAATAAAATTAAAATAAAAAGCCTTTTATTTCTTGCAAAAATAACAAAATAAATACAACTAAGCTTAGGATTAAGATAAATCACCTTTCCGCAGGTGAAGGCCTCCTCTAAACAGTCCCAATTTTCTCTACCTTGGGCTTTTTCCCCAAAATAGAGAAAATTGCTTATTAATATATCATCCGCCCATCTCGTAAGTGGTCCCTCTGTAGCGTTTTCCGCTTGGGCCTCTCCACCGTGTCACCCTTATTTATTTATTTAACACCAACAAGACATACATTAACAAAAGCATAATATTTTTTACAAAAAAATCATAAAAACTAAGTGTTGACTTAATTACAGGTGTTATGGTCCACCGCTCGTCTGACAGTCTCGCCACATGCCCCGCCCACTTCCATTTCAGTTTTTTGGCATAGTTTAGAGTATCAGTAGCTTTAGGTATGTTTCTTATTTTTGTGTATTATTTTTTGTTTTTTCCTAATTTTTAGCACGCTTCGTTCTAGGCTCAGTTGCCACATGGTAATTAATTGTATTCTTTATTTTGTCTGTGTATTTCCAAGTCTAACAAGCATAGGTTAGGCGCGGTAAAGGCAGCTCGTTATTTTTATTTTTTACTGGCATATTACTTTTAAATATTTTCTTTAGGCTGCAGTACTTATTCCAAGTAAGTTGAATACGCCTCTCGATTTCGGAATAATTACTCTCCTTATCGAAGCCAATTTGTTTACCTAAGTACATATATGTGTTCGTATATTTCAATATTTCGTTATCGACGTTATTTTACGTGGTAGAGCCATGCTGCAGCTATATTAGTAGTATAGTTGTAGCACGAATGGGTCGGCTCGACCGGGGAAGGACCACGCTCTCACAGAATACCAGCGTAAAATAGCAGTTTAACACTGCTGTGTTTCGTGAGTGAAGAGAACCGGAGACCCTTTTTACTGGAAAAGAGGCATTCCATCTTAGTCCTCACGGGTGACAACGCATCTGCATTTTGATTCGCGAACGAGGATAAATGTAGGTGTCTATGGGCTACAGCAACCACTTACCATCAGGTGGACTGTGCGCTCGTTTGTCACCCGATCTTATAAAAAATCGACAGATATTGTCTTTTCCATGCTTTTTGTCATAATCATAGTTTTTGTGAGGTTCATTTCTAATCCTACCTGCTTACTAGCAACATTAGGTGATTGGATCATGACTTGTAATCGCGAGCTTGTTTCCGATAAAAGCACCAAGTGGTCAGCAAACAAAGGTGGCTCAGATATTTTCCGTCTATGTTAAGGCCGCTAGTTTTCTAATCCAGCTTTCTTATTATCGACTCTAGGATGGCAATGAACAGCTTCGGGGATGTCGGGTCGCCTTGTCTCACTCCTCTTTCATTGGAAAAGCTTGAGCCGACTCTTATACACTCCTTCTCTACCCCTTGCTCTAGTATTTAATTCAATAAAGATTATAAATAATAATTAATGAAAGTCATTCATATTTAATTTACAACTGGTTCTGAAAATATCTGTCCTGGGAAGAATCAGACAAAAAACATTAAAAAAAAAGAACAGCTTACAATAATTTAATATAATACACATACATAATAATTATCAACAAATTAGAAATAGCTTGATAGCGGTCACCTTATTCCCAGGGGCCATTATCATTCCTTAGTATTATAATAACCCTTTATATACAATCTTTGTTTAATAAAGTTTTAAACTTGGTGTCAAAGTCAGATTTTGTATATTTTTTGGGATTTTGTTGTGAAAGCGTATCACCCAGAATGAATTACCGACTCGGTGGAGTCGAGTAACTGGTTTTACTAGCTCTTGTCTCTTCCTAGTATTTACAGTGTGATAATATCATGACAACTTAACTGACCAAACTCACTTTCTGTTCTACCCAAGGTTAGCTGGTAGAGAATGCCATATAGCATTAAGCTCCCTTTTGTACAAATATTTGGTGCAAAAAGAATAAATAAATAAATATTGTTTTTTTTATAACTAAAAGTAAAGTAAAGTTAGTGCCTATGCCACTGCTGGGCACAGGCCACCGCTCAATTCTGAGAGTTTCTGCTTTTAGGGCAAGGAAGTGTCCCCCGCGCTGCACAAATACGTGTTGGTGAACTTCACATGTCTTCGAAATATTTTTTTTCTTATTTCGCAGACATGCAGGTTTCCTCACGATGTATTCCTTCTCCGCCGAGCACGTGGTAAATCTAAATAAAGGGGGGATGTAACAGGAGGCTATGACTAAAGACTGATGTCCCGTCATAGCTAACCTGCATACCGTAGCTTCCATATTGGTAAGATGCGGAATATTAATGTGAGAGCAATGCAGTGTTTTCTTGTATTAAATGGCCGTACCGCCGCCTCGGCGGTCGGGCCTGTCATTATGAAGAAGAGAATAATTATTAATAGAAAGGCCTCTAATGTCCTTAGATTTGAGATTACTTTCCTGTAAGAGGAGAAAATCGGCTGCGCGATCTCGAAGGAAGAGCTTAAGCTCTGGAAGGTTAATTCGCAATCCGCGAATGTTAAAAGAAACAAGCGATAACCCTTTAGGCTTGATACGACCGTGACTTTTATGCAGAGCAGATGGCTCTGTCATTTTAAAGTTAAGTTAATTAAGTTAACTTAACTGACAATGAACACAAAAGATTATTATCCTCTACGAGAGCTAGGAGACGGTCCTGAGGGGACCGAGCAGCGCGTAATTTGCTCGCTAATACTGCTATTTCGTTTATGTCGATATTAAGGTCGGTCGATGTAAACCGTGTTAAGGTCATCGACCATTGAGGGCTGTTTTGACTGAGGAGCGGAGGTTGCCCGCGGTGGGCCAGCCTTTTTGGGGCCCCAGGGAAATACTGGAGTCTGCGAAGGTTTTGAGAAGCCCGGAGGTGACCTAATAGGTGCCTGCGGTGGTCTAGGGGGACCCTGAAGGGGTCGTGCGAAGCCCTGTAGCGGCTGAGATAAGCCCTGACGGGGCTTCCTTACGTATAACGCCGGGAACGAGCGGTCATTGGCCGGCGGTGGGACTTGCCTATTTGGGCGAGGACGAGGAGCGCACGGGCATCCTCTGTAGCTTGCCGGGTGGCCTGTTTGTTGATACAGGACGCACGCGGGTGGGGATACGGCATCTTTGGGCCGGGGACACTTTTTAGTGTTATGTGGGTCAAGGCACTTAACGCAACTGGGTGGGGCGGAGCAATTGGCCGCCACATGCCCATAAAGCTGGCAGCGGTGGCACTGTGCCGGGAAACCGCGCCTATGCGGTGGCTCAACTTTCACTCCCGACAAGCCGCACACAGTGCGTACTTACCGGAAGATAGCTTTCGCCTCCGGAACGTTTGAGAGAATTACTAAAACTAACGGGTATCTCAACCCGGTTCTACTATGCATTTTATGAACTGCCTCAACGGGGAATCCTTGTGACTTAAGGTCATCAAGGATCTCCTAGTTGGAGAGTTCAAACGGGACGCCTCGGATGACGGCCCTGACTTTACGCTCTTCCGGAAGAGCGTAAGTGTGGTAAGACACACGTTCATTACTGAACAGCCTAGTAATACGACGAAAGTCGTCTATGGACTGTGGGACTATCTTTATTGCTACTCCCATGTTTGTAGCTTGATCGTACTTGATTCCCGAATCATAGCAGATCTTGCTAAGTCGGGTGAATTCAGCCTTGTCTCTTAAAAAGACAGGGGGCGGGACTTGCTTCTTCGCAAGTTGGGGAGCGCAACGTGAAGCCGGCTTTGACGACGCTGCGATGTCTAACGACATAAGAGGGGTCGGGGCAGCAGCGGGGGCTGCGGGGGAAGAAGCGGCAGCTAGAGCTGCGGGGGCTGAGGCTGAGGCGGGGGCTGCGGGGGTGGGGGGAGCGGCACGGGCCAACGGTTTTTCGCGGCGCGCTTTGCTGCGCGCTTTGATGATACCGTGGTGTATGAGGATTCGTTCGAGTGAGAGTCACCGGTATCATCGGAGTCAGAGGACTCCGATGTCTTGGTGCTGAACTTGGTGGCGGGTCTCTTCCGAGAGGCAGATATTGAGGACGCGGAGTCGGAGTGAGAGCACTCCATATCTATATCCAACGCGGAGAATGAGTTCCGGGACTCGAGGTGGGCCGCTATCACGGGTGGCGGTTGGTTTGCCTTAAGGGCGGGAGAAGCCAGAAGGGCTAGGGTTGCGGCAAGAGCCTGCGGGTCATCCATCCTGTTGATGGATTCTATGAGCGAACCTTTTAAGTCCTGAGTTGACATTTTCGGAGAGACGTTTATACTCTAGTAGGGGCAGGGGTCGCCGTTCTCAGAAGAACGGGACGTTCTTATCTAAGACAGTAAGGGCAGGATCATCGTTCTGAAAAGAACGGGACGCTCTTTATAAAGAAACAGACCCCTGTTCTCAAAAGAACAGGGTCTTGCTTTGAAAAGAGCAAGTAGCGTGTTCTAAGAAACACAATACACAGTATATATAATAAAAAATATTTAATAAAATAAACTAAATAAACTTATACACTAGTAACTAGTCTACTACAATATTGTCAAGCGGTCAGTCAAACCTCCCCGTCCGGGGGCTAGGGGGGTAAGAACTGAGAGTTAGCGTAAATCACTTACAGTGCTTCGGCGCTATAAAGTGCTAACAGAATGAGGAAGCGCGGAGCGTGGAAGGGGCACTAACGTTGGGACGTTAGCGCGCGCGGACAACCTGGACACACGTCACTCGAGAGCAACACCACAGGCGGAATCTCTTCTTAAAGATATCGAGGTTTTATTTTAATAATAAATGTATGTCGTCAGTCTAATGGTACGAGCTGTGCGAGCTGCGAAACTAAAAGGTCGTGGGCACGAATCCGCCATTCGACAACTAACGTGAATCAAATCACGAGCATTTGAACACTCACCAGATGTCGCTAGTTGATATTGAGTTGAAGTTTTTTTGTTACACAATGTCATTTGATTCAGAAGTTACTTTTAAATAGAAGTTTAAAAGGTTTTAGAGTATTATATTAATACCCGAAACAATTCCTCAGTGATTTGCTGTTTAATGTTTTGCACATTTTATCTCTGTTTCTTTAATTTTTCTACATTTGTGAATATCTGCGGTTTGCTTTATTTATTTTTAATCTAATTAATATAAAATATTTATTTATAGTATAAAGTGACAAAGGAGCACACAGTCCACTTGATGGTAAGTGGTTGCTGTGACCCATAGACATCTACATCTATTCTCAATAAAGAATCAAAATGTTGTCACCCGTGAGGACTAAGATGGAATGCTTCTTTTCCAGTAGAAAGGGTCTCCGGTTCTCTACACTCACCATACGAAACACAGCAGCGTTAAGCTGCTATTTTACGCTGGTATTTTGTGAGAGCGTGGTCCGTCCCCGGTCGAGCAAGCCCATTCGTGCTACAACCATAATATAGCTGCAGCGTGGCTCTACCACATGAGTAAATAAACCGAACAGATATAAAGCTTCATACAACCGCGCGAATCGGTTGCACTACTACAACCACGCGGGGCATGTGTGCGTGACCACTGGCCGCTTGTCGCGTTCGCGGTAATACTGGAAAAAACCGGTTACGCTGGTTACGCCGTGGCACAGCCAGTGGACAACCATCTCTTCTTTTATAGAAGAGTAGCCAAACGAGCCATACCCATGAACAACCACAACACCAGGGGAATTGTAGATGCGTTGCCGGCCTTTTAGAAAGGTGTATGCTCTTGTCATTTTTCATTTTTATTATATTTTATTTTATATATATAATATATATTGAAATTTCCATTTATACCTTATATATTTTATTTCCACGTATTCCAATGTTCTTTTTTTGTTATTTTAGTTTAGTATTCGCATTTTATCCTTTTATTACATCTACTTCATTCTACCTCTGCATCATCCCAAGGTAAGGTAAGGTAGAGAATGCCTTAGGCATTAAGTCCGCCTATATACCACATGTATGAAGTTTTAAATAAATAAAAAACAAAAATTATAAAAAGAAAATTATTAGAGTAATTTTAATTTGTCTTCACCTATTGTGACAACCCTATCAAAATAGGTAACAATTTTGCACGTTCTTAGGAAGCTTTGTCTATGTTCCGTTTATTTACTCACGTGACTCTACCACGTTAAAAATATTTACTTTTAAAGTGTAAACAAAGTAGTAAATAAAAGGTGATATACAAAAACAATGAGTGATTTATGTTCCTTTCTTACGTAATTGTTCGTAAAACAATAAATTTTGTTTTAAAAAGATAATTTTTTATGCCAGTGTGTGTGTGCTTTTTTTAATTTTTAGTATTTGTTGTGGTTCCGCTTCTTAGGACACCTACGGACAGGAATGATTATTAAAAAAATATTTAAAAAAATTATGAACCGATTTCAAAGACTAAAATGAATTAATTGTGATAATAAGTTACACATAACAACTTCAAGTCGGTGCGAAGAGATGTGTATCAAAGAAATGAAGCTATTATGTGTAAATTTTTTTATTCTCTTTAGTTGTTGGAGTTGGTTTTTAATTTAATACATACATAAACACTCACACATGTCCCCCAAAGGCTTAAGCAGAGACTAAGGACTTCCATTTGGCAACACACCTATCTCGCCTCCTCCACATCCATATACATACGCATACATGCTCGTGGGTTAAGGGTAGTTTTAATTTGACCCATTTTCAATATATCGCCAATTTGGTCGATAAAACTTCTTCTAGAGCGTCCCTTCCCGACTCTGCCGTTTACTTTTGCATCTTAAATTTGCTTTTTCATTCTTTCCTCATTCATTATTTCTACATGACCAAACCACCGAAGCATTCCTTTCTTAATCCTTGTCACAACGTCATCTTGCAAACCACACTTTTCTCTTATCACACTATTTCTCACCCTGTCATTCAGATTCAGCCCTAGCATACTCCTTAAGAACCGCATTTCTACAGCATTTATTCTACTCTCATGCTTCTTCTGCCAGACACAACTTTCACTACCATATATTAAAGTAGGGACTAACACAGCATTATGAATTGCCATACGTACCTTAGTTGACAGATTCTGACTCCTCATAATAGCGTGTAAAGCCCCATTCACTCTATTTCCTGCGTTCACTCGTCGTTCTATATCCTTGTCATATCTACCATCCCTGCTAAATACATGATCATCATCTTGCAAACTATACTCTTCTTTAATCACACAATTTCTCACCCTGTCATTCAGATTTTTAATTTAAGTTTATCAGTATTTATTATAGGAAAGTATTATTTCAGATTTTTGAAACCAGGACGTCATCAACTTTGCAGCTATCATGACAATGCAGTTCCAACCATTCCATAATAATCCACAGAATGACGTTAGTATTGAAATAGGCTAGAATATGATGAATAATTGACTTACTTCATTGTCCAAATTGTGAATATATTTGATCCATTCAAAAGCGGGTAACAATACAGCAAACATCTCTATTGAAAAATCCAATAAAAGAATGCAAAAATAATGAAAGGACTGTCGACGATTCTATATCAAGGGTATATATGCGTGTTTTCACGAGATGACCTTACACGATCGGTTGAAATTGTTTAAATTTTAAACA